ACGCGTGTCGTCATGGGCTAATGATCTATTACTTCATTACTTCATTAACTGATTTGGTTAATTTCGCAGATCATCTTCTTTTGCCAATTATTGTGTCATTGATTCTTGTAGATCAATTCACATGATGATTATTTGCAGATCACTTTACTGCGTCACACTTCTAATTTTCTAAAGATCATTTGGGTTACAATACCTTCTACTTCAAATAAAAACATGATTTATATTGCGCGACAGGATCGCTCATTCGCATTGCAAGGAAAAGTATCATTTTGTTCCTAACATAAATGAGAATCTAACTAGAACACAGAAAAATATCACTGCTAAAGACTTTTTCAAATCCTTTGCTCTGTAATGTTTCTGGTTTTTTGGTTGAAATATATTAAGAATAGTATGCAACTCGTAGGAAAGAGATCGATGCACTTGCTCTTTAGAAGCCCCTAGTATACAGTTAATGTAGTAAATGTTTTAGTCACTCATACTTCCTATTGGTCACGTTTCCAATAATCTATAAAAAAGAATTAAATTTTTCTATTGACGATTATTATATAAGTCTGAAGTTTAAAAGTTTACCTGCGTGGTGGAGATCTAGGTCTTCAGTTCGAGAAGCAAGGGTCATCTTGATCGAGTACAATATAAGAAAATAAGAGGGAAAATTTATGGAATAGCTTTTAATAAAAATAATATATTTATATGGAGCAAAAGTAATCAGCCACCAGGTGATTAATCTCACATAACCGGTCTAAGTCACAATTGTGAACTTGAGTTTATTGCTTGAACTGTCTTGAACTGTTGCAGGTAAGACAATATTCTGTTCCATTTTTATACCATTTGCTGTGTAATCCATAATTCCCATATTTTCTATCACAAATAGGACATGATGAGTTCCATAGCTGAGCTAATACAAAATTATAATTATCAATTTCCTAAAACTATTTCAGAATTTCAGGTATGCGAAATGCTTTAAGATAGAATCAATAATTAATTCTGAATAGGGTTTGGCTTCGTAAGTGATAGCCTTGAAATTGGAGGCTTAAGGTTTTGCTGAAGCACTTGTCACAGCTTCTGATAATTGTCATGGCTTATACCCAGTTTCTTTTTTATATTTTTTGTATAAGCTGGATCAAATATTATCCATCAAAATGCTTGGTAATCCAGTTAATTTGTCATGCTAATCCAGATATTCGGAAGTTAATATTTTATTGGATTTGCTTATGTTTCCTTTTTTTCTATGATTACAGATCAATTTAAATTAGGTAATAGTTGACATGTGTAAAAAATAATGAGACAATGCAATTATCTCAATTTCACGCTATTCACACTTAATAAAATAGGATCCAGCCTTATATCTACCTTCTATACTTTCTTCATCATCATGATCTAAACTGCATAATGGGCAAGTCCTTTTGGGATCGCAAGATGTCTCATCAGTAATACCATAATAATCAAAATTTCACTATTAATTTCTTTATATAAAGTAGGATATTAGCCCAATGTCTTATTGCAAAAATAGGATCAGTCATAAGTAGTTCTAAGAATTGGTGAATGAGATGTAGTAGAAATGTTTACCTTAAGTTTTGAAGATGCATTACCATTAGTAGTTTTCAAAGGCAAGTGACTCTGATCGTTTCCCAAGGAAACAGTTTTTGAAGTTACTTGATCTATAACATTTTGAATTTGTTCGTTAGTTAAATTTTGAAATCTCATTTGCACTGCAATTGACACATTTAATCTTATCAATCCCTACACCATTATCTTCAAACAATTTGTGAATTTTTTTAGCTCTAAGAGTTTTAATTCGCAAGGCAACAGGCGTAACACCAGCCAGATGTTCTAACATTTCCATATATATTTGAGTTCTTGCAGTTTTATCAGTAACTCCTATTTCATGACGAATTTCAACAACCTTATTTTCAAAATTATCTGAATAATGAATCCAGGACAAAATCTCTTCATGTCCAGCTTGTGTTGTATTTCGAAATAAATGGATTAGGCTTTGTATTGTAATTTAACCGTAAGATTCTTCGCAAGAGGATGAATACTGCTTACTAATTTCAGAGGTGAAGTAATAATACTACCACTCTGTAAATCTCGTATTAAATCAAGTTCTATATTCTGATTTTTAGTGAACTTGATCTCATCAGAGTCGTCAAAATCTTGAATAACCTTTTGCTGATTTTTTGAAGTTTTCTCAATTTTTTCTGACTTCTCTGAAACCATCTGATCATTTCTTGAGAAAACAGTTTTTGTACTACTTTCAATTTTATCATTTTCTGAGGAAACAGTCAGATTATTTTCTGCAGAAGGTAATACTTTAAGGGAAGCTGTCTTACGCAGAAGTTTCTTCTTATTGTGTCGCCTTATCCCATCACTAACACTTTTCTTATGTGCATCATCCAAGAAAATATCCATTTTCTTGTCTACCGATGATTTCTGATCACTCACACAAGATGGCAGAGACACTGTCACAGAACTCTGTTCCATTATTGCGAGTCTGGCCTCAAGTTCTGTATATTTTTGCTCTAGTTCTTTGACTCTAACATCACGCCTGGCATTCTCTTCAATAATTTGCCTCAGCTTTGCATTTTCAGCCTCAACCTCTGCAACCTTCCTCCTAAGTTCAGGAATCTCAGCATTCTCGCCTTCAATTTCAGCAAACTTCTTCCTGAGTTTGGCAATCTCATCTAAGAGCTTAGCATTCAACTCTCTTAATGAATCAATAGATTGAGCGTTTGACATTGTTTTATACAGGGTATGAATAATTCAAAAAGTTTGTCAGTATAGATATAAACAAGGAAATGCCTCATCAGAATTACACTGTTAAATGTGGCTTTATTGATACAGAAAATAAATTACATGATTTAATGATACATAAACTTGTTCTACGAAGTGAAATGGCGCTTCTATACAGACCACATCAGTGTTTCGTTCATCTAAGCTATCTATACTAGCACAATATCCCAACATTAACTCTAATACGATTTCACTTGCCCCAACATCGATATTCTGGATAGAATAAAATGGTCGTCAGTTATGCGCAGAGTCAGAAATAAATTAACAATATTGACCCTAGTAAAACTCACGGAAGGTTTATATTCTCTGCTAAATAAGTTCCTCGAAATTTCTGAACAAAAAAATAGCTTTGCAAGCTCTGGGTCGCTTCCTCGCAAATGCACATCCACAATCGAAAAAATATGCTTCATTCACCTTAATTGCGAAGTGTCTCCTCCGGACTTCAATAATTTTTCGTCAATACTTCTTTCAAACTGCGATAAGTCAGTTTCTCTCTAACGAGATAATGCCCGAAGAAAATAGAACGACAGCTTTGGGTGGCCGGAGTAAGAAAATCAGAGCGTTACTGCGCTTTATTACTATCGTATGACCACTCACGGGATACAGTGTAGCACAATACAATTTGATAAATTACTCCTAACTCATAAAGTCATCATCGTATTACTACTCTCTTTCCACCTCATTATATTCATCGATATTTATTAATACGTAACTATGGATAAAAAAATGGATAACGTTAACTTTGTCTCTACTAGCTCTATTTTCGATAACCTAAATCTTCATGCCAAACCAATGGACTCCTCCACTAAGAACGCGATGGACACTAGACGAGGTAATTTTTAGCTGTTTATAAGAAACAGGAAAAAAAATTCTTAAGTAATTCTCACCTTAGATCAATCCCTAGATCTGGGAGAGGAGCAGAAAGGGAAGGAAAGTATACAACAAAATTCTTCTTCCGTACAGAAGAAACAGACGTATTTTCGACGATCCCAATGGACGTCCAAAACCAATAATATTGAGGGTGAATGGGGCCAAGATCTCCATAGTAACCCCATCGGATGCTCTCTGCTACCTGTACACGATCAATTTAAGCTTCCCAAAGAAGAAAAGAACAAGGAAAATTCGCAAGAGACAGCGGAAATTACTTTTTCAGTATCAAGACCAAATAAAGATAAAGAAGAGAACAAGGAAAAATCGCAAGAACTTTCTGAGGCAGGAGGAATTACTTTATCAGCACCAAGAACAAATCTGTCAGTGGATAACTGTAATGGAACACAATCGCAACAAGCAACCATACACAATCAACGTTTCCTGGAAAGAAAACCAGGAAAGAATTATCAACTTTGCATTTGGTGCATCAGTTACAGCCCTCGACTACAACGACAGGAGAGATTTGTGCAAAATCCGGCAAAGGAACGACAGATACCTTCTTCCTCGGGATCAAGATGGGAATGTGATTTCAAAACTAGAAAGTTGGGAGTTCGGGAACTGCTCGGAGATGAATGCCTGGACTTATTTATGCCAATGGAGACCAGATTTGCAAATCATGTCTCGAACAATAACAGTATACAGCAAAGAAATAAAGGAACCATGCAAAAATTGCAAAGCTATTCAGAATTGGTTGACAAATTAAAGAATGATCGTGAGTTTCGTGAATTCCACGAACCTACAGATAAAGGATTAATTGACCAAGAAAATAGGGAACACTTCAATAAAACATATGGTATCACGTCAATTCACCCCCTGCTCGTAGATCATTCCAGAACTGTTCTTGTGTTTTTAGATGATCGCGGTATTATGTTTGAATGGTGTGAAATGGATCGTGGCATGCATATCTTGGGAATCAATAAATTGGAAGGACTTGCGAACTATCTTTACCACCCAGGTAAGATGTGTGCCGTTATGAAATATGGTGAGCTGGTACCTGAAGTGGAACTTACACGCCGTATAAATGAAAGGTTGAATAATAAAGAGTTGGAGGAGAAAAAGTTGGCGGAGGAAAAATGGGAGAAAAATAGGGAAAAAAGGTTGGCAAAGAAAAAAAGGTTGGCAGAGGAAAGCAAAAGTGATATGGGCGTTTCACTATAAAAAAAATACACGTTTTGCCATTGATCTTTCTGATTGATGTGATCTCCAGGGTTTATTTTTTTACGTTGTCTTTGAATTTTTTTTTGCTGAACATTATTGTATATAGTGAGTTTCTGTATGAAATGTAGTATACAGTATTAGGTTGACTAATTGAGTATTGTATGGTATATAATTGATGTTGAGTATGACTTTTATAGGAGTTAACGTGAGTGATACGGAAAGTTGTAGAGTATGGTCAACCAAATGAGTATAGTACATCACGTGAAATGGTTTTGAGTATATTGTTGTTATACTAAACAGACCTAACCTAACCCTAAACTAACCCTAACTTACCAATATTAACGTTAACTCCTAGCAATTAGGTATAAAAGGTCATACTCTCGACCATACTCCGTCTTACCTTGAATTTTTGTAGTTTATTATAAAAAAAATACATATATATACTTATCATTTCATGTGATATACTCCAATCATTTGCTTCATCTGACTCCACTCCTTTTCGTATCACTCCATCATTTTACGTGATATACAATACTCAATTGCTGGATCCTACTGTACTACTTTCCTCGTTTCCTTTACAAGTTAAAAAGAAAATCCATCCGAATTGATGATAAAGATTTTTCGGACTTTGATCTCGCCTACCGTAGTCTTGATCCTAAAAAATATGGACTGAACGAGATGTCGAAGAAGTAATTTATGATCATGCACGAAATTTAAACATGATTCTTACTTACACTCTTTCATATAAACGATGTTGATGTGATGGAGAGGATTTAACAATGAAAAAATACACTGTAGACGATTTATCCACCCTTAAATAAGTTATCTTTGAATCATTTTTTCCCGATAATATTTCTTACTCAACAGATTTAATCTTGCATACAGGTCCATGCATTTTTTATGGAAAGGAGAAGACGATTTTACTTCAGCTCCAAGACTAGAAGGATGGTTCGAAATGAATGTTTGGGCCCATTTAGTTGATCCTGCTTTTCGTGGAATGGAAATTAAGTTGGTACGGGAAGAAGTGCAGAGTTTATCATCAAGGAATAGAAAAAATTTTGAAAGAACTGTAAATGACTGGCAGAAAAGGGGACGGGGTCTTTAGATTACGAATAATCGCCTTAAATTTGGCGCAATTGAAGCTGGGAGAAACTGGGAGGAAACAAATGGAACCAAATTCCTAACGGATTCCTTAAAAATGTGTAAAATGCTCAAAGACATGATAAATGAACTCGCCAACGAATGCAATATGAAAGAAGGTATTATAAGAAAGTTACAAGTGTCGGGATTCTCCAAGGAGACAATATGATGCTGCTGAAAAATTATATGAAGTTCCTATTTTTTAAACATTCATTATAATGGATTTTTATTCGTAAAATTTATAATTGAACTTGATTAATGAGTCAAAAGTAGATTCATGTGTATTCGATCATTGGGTCATGATTGATTATTATTTGTTGTTATATGAATTATGGTTAACACTAACTTATATGTATTATCAATCCTTTTTCTTGACTGATCGGTACGTGATGGCGATACGATATAAGCAATCACGATCATTTGTCATCGGTGAGATGTGCAGTTTGTTTATCGAAAAATAAAATATACAAGAAAGCTTTGTTCATGCTAACTGTGCATCGGAAAAAATAAAAAAACATGCACGTTTATAATGTTGCTAATTTATGTTATTCCAAAACTTTATAAAGTTCGGATTAAAATCTCTAGTTCAAATTGAATTGATTTCTCCCTTCTCCCAGTTAAAAAAAAAAAAAATTGCACCAAATAATCATATGATTTTGAACGTCCCTGAGCAGTTTTTCATATCTTAAAATTTATGCTGTTATTTTTATCATTTTACTATTGGAATTTATTGGGCCTTTTTTGTCCAGTTTATTTATAACTTGTAAACGGAATGGATATTAAGTCCTTTACATCACTCTAGTGATAATTAATCTTCGAGAAGTCTGATCAAATTGATTCATATTTGTGCCATACATTAGAGGTTGCTAAACCAGAAACACAAGTCGGATCAGAAAAATTCATTGCATTAGCTCTGACCGGAATGTAATACACTTTTATAAATCCCGCAATATATTGAATTGACACATAAACTTGTTTATTTTTTTGATGCATTGCGAAACTTTATTAATTTTTCAGTAAAAAAAAAAAATGGAGATAGCAAGTGAAATAAATGATGAGTGATGGAGTAAGGCAAGTCCCAACATCATGTTTATTCTTTGCTCTAACTTGTTCCTATAACTATTGTCTCGGAAATGTTCTCTTGCAAAAAATTAATCTGTTCATATCTATGTGGATGGGAGTAAAACAAGTAATATATA